CTGCTGTTCCTGCAGCTCGTCTCTCAGGTACTTGATTTCAGATTTTAGGTTTTTCTCCAAGTCAGAGTGCCCTGCTGGAGGCTTCGGGATTGGGGGTTCAGCTGAGAAAGGAAGCAGACAATAAGGGCCTCTGGATTCTCAAAACGAAAAACAAAAAATCTCTTCTTGGTGCACAGCTCCTCTCAGGCTCCCCAAACCTGGCCTCACTGCTAATGATTCCTTGCACCCAAATGGTAGCCAGTCTTCCAAGCCACTTTCACATAGAGAACACTGTGGGTGGCTGACAACAGGCACCCCTCCCTCTTTCTCATGGGGACACTGAGGCTCATGGAGATTACGAGACTTGCCGTCTCCTAGCACAGACCTCTTTCCCTCTGCCTCAAAGCCCTTCCAGCCACCCACCTCCCTGGGGCACTCTAAGCCAAACCCACAGCCATATGATGCCAGTCCTGCTCCCGGGTCACACCAGTCCCATCTTACCCAGATGGTTTTGTAGGTGGGCAAGGCTCCCCTTCAGCTTCTCAATTTTAATTGCGTCCTGTCTTTTCTCCATTTTGAATATTTCAATCTGCCCAAAGCACAGGGGGAAAGGGCCCTGGAGAGAGGGGCTGGTGGCTGGACAGGCTACCATCTCCCTCTCCGCCCCCAGCTCCACAAAGCCCAGTCCCGTGACCACCCCTGGCTGGACTATTCTTTTGACAGATGCCCGGGAAGATCCAGTGAGCCATATAAGGCGGGGGCTGAAGGGTCAGCTCTCACTTCTCCTGCCATTTTCAGCAATTGCTGCTGCCACCGCGCCCTCTCTGTTTTGAGCTGTTGAGCGTATGCGTCTCTTTCTAGCTGAGCTTTCTTAAGACACTCCGTCACCTGCAAGAATGGACCCAGAAGTTAGGAAGGGCTGTCACTGGTCCTCACCTGCTCCTGGCCACCTGGGGTCATCTTCCTTCCACATCCCTCCCTCTGCAAAGTCTCACCTCTGCCACCTGTGCTTTTAGCAGTTCCCGCTCCTGCAGAAACTGCTGTAACTGCTGCTCAAGGACTGCCCCACAGCGGCTCGAGGGCTGGAGGGTGGAGAGGGAGAAGCTTCAATCTGGAGAGCCTGGGCCGTTCCACACAGTGCCCCTTAAAAGGGCTAGGGCTGGGCTTCATACACAACTTGGTCAGTAAAGATCAAGGCCCATGGTCTGGATTTTAAAAGAACTCAGTAAAGTTGGAAGGGACAGGCAAAGAGATGAAATTTACAACTGGCTAAAAGAGGCCCAGAGAGATCAGATCATAGTCTATTGTTATTCCTGTTGTTACTACACTGTTGGAACCTTTATTGAGTGCGTCACCAGGTAGTGTGGTAACAATCCCATTTAACCTAACAGCCACCATGTGAAGCAGTTGCTACCATTATCTCTATTGGGTAGATGGAAAACACGGAGCATTAGAGGTTAGGTGGTTGCCTAAGATCACTTAGACAGAGCTGGGATTTGAACACCCAGGTCCATCTGTCCTCTAAGTCCATTTTTTTTTCCTGCTCGGGGTGGGGGCACAGACAGGAAGGGAGAAATTAATCTTCTGCTCACTTTTTGAAAGGACGATACATTCGCATAGTCCAAAACTCAGAAGGTACAGAAGGGAAGTATCTCCCAGCCACCTGTGCTCTCTCCTGAGTGTTTTACAAATCCTTGCAGACAAGTTTTATGTATATTATCATAGTACACACAGATACACAGACACACACACACACACACACACACACACACGTTTCCTCTCTACACAAATGTTAACATACTAAAGCTACTCTTCTGTACTGTCACAGTACAAATACCCAGTCTCCCACCTAGGACTTGGCCAAGGCCACAGCCAGGTAAGGGCAGGGTGGGCATTTGGCCTCTGAGCTCTGCATCCAGTGCTGGCTCTCCATAGCGCCCTTAAACTCACCCACAGCAGCCCCAAGGGGAAACTGGAGCCCAGGATTGGCAGCGTGGAATCAGGGGACTCCACTGGACTCTTACCAATAAGTCGATGGTTTTATTCAGTTCACTGGTTGTGACAGAGCTCGAGTCCAGGGCTATTTGTAGTTGCTGTGCGCTCTGAGGCACATGCAGAGAGGACGAATTGGGGGAGGATCGGGGGAGAGGAAGAGAGAACAATCATTAGGGTTGGGGTGTGTGGGGGCTGTCTCGGCTCGCAGATGGGCACCCAACCATCACTGTGGGAGGAGGGTGTAAGGATGGCCTGCAGGGTCACTGTACCTCAGCTCAGGGCCTCTTACCTCTGGATCTCTCGTGGTGGCACATGGTGCAGGGCCCTCCTTGGGACCACCTGCTGCTGACTACAAGAGATGAGAGTGCACATGGAGATGTTCTGTCCCCTCAGTGTCCAAGCCTCTGACTTCCTTTCCTCCCCATCAGCTGGCAGCACTTCCTGTTCTGCCTCTCGGACCCTTTGTCCCAGAACTCATCTGTGCCAGCTCCTCTCACGGTGCTTATCTCCCACCATCCCACCCTGGGGCCCTTTCAGTGACTCTTAAAGGGACAGCCTGACAGCAAATGGCTGTTCTCATTGGGCTGGCTTCCCCTTGAGACTGGGGATGAGGAAAACCAAACAGCAAGGACCCTTTCCTGGGTGTCCTGGGTGTTTACAGCGGGCCATGTACTAGGGATTAACAAAAACACAACAGCGATAACGAATCTCATTTCACCCTCACAAATGGAAGTCAGACAATACCACCTCTATTTTACAGATGTGAAAGGAGAGGCCCAGAAGGCTCCAGCAACTTGCCCTAAGTCATATCCCTAGCAGATGGAGAGGCAGGATTCAAACCCAGAATTCCTAACCAGTACCCAGAAGTTCTTCCACAATCTTAACAATTCCCCTCTACTGCCCCTTGGGCCCCTTGTCCCCAGAAGCCTGGCCAGCCAAGACTCACATGGCATGGTGACTGGCAACCAGCAGAAGTGCCTGTCTCAGGGCTATTGTTGTTTCTTTTCTTTCTCCGTCTCACTCGTGTTGGAACAGCAGGGCTGTTTCTTTGTTGAAATTCTGTTAACTGCGGGAAAAAAGAGCAGTAATACCCATGAGAACTACAAACCCCTACAGTCACAACCTACATTACAGTTTTTACAAAATACGGTTACACACCATCTGATTTAATGCCACCAACAACTCTATAAGGTGTGGTCACAATCACTTAGTGACTGAGAGGGATTCGTATCATGGCAAAATTTTGAAAAATTTAGAAAAAAAAGAAAAGAGAAAGAAAAAGCAATACTAGGCCTTCAACTCATTCCCCTGACTCCAAGCTCTGGGATTTTGCCATGAATCAGCATCTGCCAGAGAGCAGAACCACAGGCAGAAGTAGAAAATTCAACATGAAGTAGACAAGAACTGTACGCCGTGTGGTTTAGAGTCATACAGCCTCACACAACTGTTAGTGTTAAGAAGGGCACCAGCACCTCTCACACTTTTCTATCAATGTGTCCTCATGGCAGAAGGCAGCCTTTCTGTTAAATCTGGGAATTCATCAGAAAGAGGACAAA